TCCGGCTGAAAAATTCCTCCTGCCAGGAGGATGGGGAGGAGCAGCGTGACACAGCCCCAGCCCAGGGATCCCCAGCCCAGGGTTCCCCAGGTGAAGACTCCCTGGGTGAGGGCACCCCGTGTGAGGACTCCCCAGACCAGGGCACTCCTGGCTCTCCTCCAGCAGCAGGAGGGGGGGCCCAAGAGAAGGGCTGTCCCTCAGCAGGGAAATGGCCGCGTGAGGGCACCCCCAGGCCTCTGCTCCCACCCTGCCTCATCCACCCGAGGAAGAGGCTGCGAACAGCAGCCCCAAGCACCGTGGACTCAGCCCTCACTGGTGACGAGCCCATCTCCGACAGCGAGATCGAGCAGTACCTGCGGGGCCCAGAGGAGGTCCAGGCCTTCAGGAAGGCCAGGGCCTGGCTGTGAAGGTGGTCATGGTCTGAGGGATGGTCCAGAGAAGATTTTGAGACCACAAGTGTGAAGCCCCCCAGGGACAATCGCCCAAGGAAGAGGTTGTGGAGAAGGAGCACGCTGGGCCCTCCTGCATATTCTGGACCAAATGCAACTTCCTATGGAGTGAGTGCTTTGGGTCCTGTTACATTTCTGTTGTAAATAGTTAATAAAATTCCAAGTCCAGGTTTTTCACAGCACTGCTCCAGCTTTCCCAGGGTGGCTTCACCTTGGACTTCTCCTCTTGGAGAATGGGTCATGAGGGCCAAAGAACCGCAGGCCAGGCTTGAATGTGGAGTCTGACAGAAATGACAGTAGATCTTGGCAGATTGGCAAATCTTTAATATATTAAACAAAACATATCTGCTAGAAACATTCTATTCATATAAAAATGCAAAAAGACCCTTTAAAGGCATTTCTTTGGCACATCTCCCCTCCCTCCCCCCGGATATTGCAGGAAGCTCTGGTGATATGTCATTCGCTTGTAAACAGACAAAAAAAAGTGTAATTAGGAATACAAAGCTTTTCTCTAATACTGTCACAGTGCAGAAAGCAATATAACCACGGGGCATCAGCTGCAGGAGCCACAGCAAGGGTTTGGTTTGTGTTAAATACCAGGACAATGGAAGATTTGAGCATTTTAGTTGGGCAGAGAAGCCGAGGCAGGTGGGGGGCAGCAGGTTAAGCCCAGGGGTGCCCCAGCCCTGCAGGGTGAGGGGTTCTGAGGTGACACTAAGTGTTTTTTCCTCCCCTGGCTCATAGCCCCTGGCCCCTGCTGGCCCCCGCAACCCCTCGGAGGTAGCTCTGTAAATCAAACTCATTTGCACGTGGGAGAGACTGAGTCAGGGCAGGTGGAAAGGGCAGAGGAGGCACCAGGCTCCCATCCTGCCTCCTCTGCAGCCCTCTTCGTGCTGGGATAAGGGGGGACTTATTTTCCAATGGGAACAGTAAGTGCTTATCCAGGTTCCAGCCCTTTGACTGCATCATGGGATCTGTCCGAGCAGGGTCCCTAATTCCTTGGCACTGTTCTCCTGCATTCCCAGGAATGGTCCCTGCTCCCTAGGGAGGCTTCTCTGCCTTCCTAAGAGCAAACCCAAGTGTTTTCTGGGTGAAGGGCATGGAGCTGCTCTGGGTCTGTCCCATATCTTGGTTCTTTGGTGCTTTGGCACAGAGGGTCATTCCCAGCTCCAGCAGCAGCACAGCTTTGCCAGCCCATGGCATGGCTTGTGCCTCTGGGAGCCTTTTCCAGCCCGGAATTTGGTGTCTGGAGCCTTTTCTGGCCGTGATTTTAGTGTCTGGCATATAACAGTGCAGACAATCGCCTCACCTTGGAGCTGAGGCTACTCTTACCTTGTGCTTGGCTTTGCAATATGGCTTGGGCACCGCGTAAGCCCCAGGGCTGACACGCGGATAAAGACATTCCAGGGGGAGCAGCTGCTCTCTGAGCCGCTCAGGAGCTGCTGCTCAGCCCGGGGCTGCGGTGCCTGGACGTAAAGGGCACTTGGGGTGGTCCCTCAGTGGGAATATTGCAGTCATGGCACGGGCAGGCCCTGGCCCTGTGCCCACGGGACACGGCTGGGAGCGAGGCCCTCGCCTCCCTACGGCTCTGTCTATACATATATACATTCAATAATATAGCTTTGAAAAATAGACATTTCCTCTGTATAATATAAAATAGCATTTAGGATCGGTCTCGAGTGACGCGCAGGAGTGACTGAGGCACGGCTGC